TCTGTCTGAATGTATGCCTGCCTGTTTGTATGCCTGCCTGCATGTACCTATTACAGTGGCTGTTGTGTGCATGTATATTATGGAATATACAGTTGTGTCTCTGTGGCCAATTTGGAGACGTACACGTAGAGTGTGCCCATGAGCCTGTAGCTGGGACAGGTCTATATGTTCTATATGTAGAATGTACAGTAGTGTACATCGCAATAGCTGCCCTGAAGATGCACTTGTGGACTGTTCGCTTGTGTGCCTCAATAGCTGCAGTTTGTATGGTCTTGTGGCGGCTCAGGAGACATGTCGAGTGTCTGCGTGTGTCTCCATTGCTGCTGTAAAGATGTAAGCGTATTATACTCATGTATGAAGAGTATTGTATAGTTGCGGGTGGTTGGAGGATGCCACTGGCAGATCAAGCTTCTTTTCTGTCCTGATTCGTTCCAATCTTGTCTTGCTTCTTCTTTGCACTATTTGACCGTTTTGTGTTCCTTTGCTTCTCTTTACTGAACCCGAGAATTCTATCTCAAGTGTATTGTTGTGCCCTTGTAGTAGCTTCTGCGTACGTGGCCTCTGACATCAGGCTGGAGCTAACCGCTGAGCGTGCTCTTCAGTGGCTCTCCGTGACTGTAAAAGTCAGGTTGTCTTCCTCACTGACCCCATGATCTAAGCGTGATTTGACCTTTTCGTTTTGCTAACCGGCTCCCGTCCTGAGCTTGTTCCTTGCTGTCACTAATCGTTCCCGGTAATTATCCCAAAAACGATTGCGCCTGCGGTCTGTGGTGTTTCAAGTCATATAGTCAACCCCCCCCCCCCCCCCCCGCCCGCCCGCTTTCCCCCGCCAACTCCAACCTTACTAACGAGTTTACGGACCTACCCAACCTGACCAAAAGACTGGCCATCCCCTTAGATAAGTAACTGGCCGGCGGCCTGTCGGTGTTGACCGTTCGTTGAAGGTTTCTTTCCTCGAGCGATGATGCTGTGACGTCAGGTCACTAAACACACCGCCTAGTTCAGGGAACGTTTCCCCACTGCACACAGTGACTGTGGGTTGGCGAGTCTGTTTGGTATATCGTGTCACTACGTGAATCTGTGGTTGGAGAGCAGCATGACTGCGTTGGTTCTAGTTCTTTACCATCTCACTGTAGTTTCAGTCGGTTGTTCATTCCCCCCGCCCCCCA